TTGCCAAATTTGTTTTAGGACCCGGTCACACTGGATGCGATTTAAAATCACACATTTTGTTTGCCGCATTTTCTGAAGATTTCCCAACTATTTCTTGCATTTTCCATTGCGTTTTTCAGTGCAATTTGTATTGTAGTCTATGTGAAATTGCAACAAACTGCAGAAAAAGTAATACAAGAACTACTTTTGAAATCGAGCTGCAGAAAATCACGTATGTTAAGACACTTACATTCACATAAATTAGATACGATTTCAGGTACGATTTCAATTCCCAAATCGCACCTGAAATCGTGGCAGTGTGACCGGGGGGATAAATCCATTCCCTCTGCAGGTAGCACATACTGAGAGGATTTACTAAAACTAGAGAACTCAGAATCCGGTGCAGCTGTGTATGGTAGCCAATCTACTTCTAACTTCAGTTTGTTTAAGTTTTAAAAATAAAACCTGGAAGCTGATTGGTTTCTTTGCAGAACCACATTAGATTTTGCATGCTTCAGTGTCAGTAAATCTACCCCACTGTAACCCTGAGACTCTGGAGAATAGTGTACATGCAGACCCCCTAAAGAGAATCAGTCATTTGACCTTCCAGGGCTTCATTCAGCTTCACCATGTTCCTCTGCTGCTCTGCTGAGTTTGGATTCCCACCTTCAATGAAGGAACAAAGCTCTGGGGGATTACTGGAATTTGATTGGCAATGGGTTGTTACAAATCTTACAAAACATGCATGGAACTGCCAAAGCCATTAGAACGCCTTGAAATTCACCCATAGCAAATACAGCAGGTATAGATGTTCCTGTACTTCTTAGCTCCCTTTTTTGTATTCCATAATATACAATTAAATCAATGCTTACTTAGCTTAATCAATAAAAATGGATTCTTCCTATATGAGTGGATGATTGGAGTGAATGCAGCTTCGCATTTATTAAAGTGATATTAAACCCTCAGTTTTTTAAGCACTTTCAGCAGCTGATTTAAGGACATATTGGGTATGCAGCTTCTTTATCTTGTAATCTTCACCTATGTTCCTGTTTAATCTGGTGTCATGACCACTGCCCCAGGTTTCCTGTTTCAGGGTGGTTCCTTCCTCTTGCAGTGTCCTATGGAGCTACCTTTGCATGCATAAACAAGAGTTGTTTCTCCCTACACTGTGTGCATCAATAGATCTTTAACCTTTAGTTGAAATATCTGCATTTGATTTAGAAATCATTCTTATGCAAAGTCCATAGGGGTGCTGACATAGGTCTTAGAAAATCACTGATCTGCTCAAATAAACTAGCCAAACAGCCTTTACAAGAAGGATTTACAGTATACATGACCAATGTTCCAGACCTGAGCTACACACAAGAAACCTCTATACAAAAAGATTCCATATTTCATTCTAGCCACCACTAATGTCTTTTTGTTACTATCAGCCTGGGTTCACACATATGCAGTGCGGCACAATGTATGTGATTTGCACAGGAACCGGACAGCATTCTTGTGCAAATCACATGCGATTTCTGTGTGGTGCAATTTGAGCAATACATTTTGTATGGCATCCGCACCAAGATAGTGCAGGACCCTTTTTTTTTTGTCCGCACCAGAATCGGATCGCATGGGTATTCACACCCATGCGATCCGATTCTGCACAATTGTTCTGCGAATTGATTTTGGGGTGTTGTTAACTTAACATACACAGCCGCAGCAGTGAATGGGATGCAATTGTGATGCAGTGCAGAAATCGCACAGAAACTATTGTGCACTGCATAAGTGTGAACCCAGGCTTAAAGTTAGATTTAGCCTTGTCATAATACACTAATGTTACATATTGTGCCAGAACTACATCTAGTATTAGAAAACGGCACAGCCATCTTACATAACGGATATGTGTTGAATAATGCAAGTTTTTTGAATAAGGGAAGTTTGGAAAAACAGTATGACTTTTTCTGCCCACTTTCTTATCTCTTTGGTTATATGTTAAAAAAGACATTTTGTTACATTGACAGATAGGCCACAGATGAGGTCTTAGAATTAATCATTTACATGTCCATATAATCGGATATGTCAATAGTTCAGTAAGGGTTTAGCCCCCATTCACACCTGAGCATTTTTCAGCTCATTACCTTATGCCTGACTATCCTCAACACGAATCACCAAAGAGTCCAATTGCTTCTAATTGTACTTGTTCACACTTGTATGCTCAGTTGCTCTATGCCTTATGCTCAAAAAATTACATGAGTTTTTATGTGTTTTTGACCCCAATAGACTTCAAGGGGAGTGCCTGTATATGTGCGTTATGTGCATTTTTACACATTTTTGTGCCTGACGAACTTCTCTCCCTCTATAACTCCTACAAAACAAAATTCAAAATTACCAGGAATATGTTCTACTCAGATGTGAATGCAGACTTAGGCTGGCCATACATTATACAATTATCTTCCAATTTTCTGCCCAATTTCCTTTAGATTTACCTTCAACTGTGTAGTGCAAGGACCTGCCTAATTGTATACAACTGAAAGTGTTGTTTAGGTTTGTCCTCCTATTATATGGTTTTTGGTTAATCTAAACCAAAAATCTCCAGATAATTGTATAATGTATGGCTAGCCTTAGGCTGGCCATACATTATACAATTTTCTTGAGAATTTTGCTTTAGATTTACCAAAAAACTATATAATAGAGGGTCAAACCTAAACAACACATTTAATTGTATCCAATTAGGCAGGCCCTTGCACTACATAGTTGAAGGTAAATCTAAAGGAAATTGGGCAGAAATTGGACAGAAAATTGAAAGAAAATTGTATACTGTATGGCCAACCTTAGTGGGGTTTTTACATCTGTAATTTCCCAAACAATGGCAGACTGACAGCAGATGTCCCAGAGAAATATAAAATTGATCACTTGGGGGTCTAAACACTGTTGCTCTTTCCTAGAATTTGCTTTGCTTCTTATTTTCAGATTTTGCATTCAAGAGTTTCCAGCAGAGCATATAGGGGATGTAGTTTCAGTAAGTTTGAGGATTTTCCAAATGCATGACAAATGCACATAAAAAAACATAAAGTGTCTATTTAATTGATGTCAAGTTCACCAATAAATGAATTTGCCTAAGCATAAAATTATACTATGATTTATTTTTTTACAAGTAACAATTTTTGAGCCAGAACTATGGGCACATTTATAAAGCAGATAATCTGACATTCTCTGTGACCGATTTACCATATTGTTGTTTTGTTTGTGTATTGCTTGATGAGAGTTGTATTCACTATGTGTCATTATCATTATTGTTTTTCTGGGACATCAAAAAGATTAGTTTCCTAATAAGACCCATATGTATGACATTTATATAAGGAACATAAAAATATTAGCTCTAGGTGGATCAACATAGAATATGATTAGGAATTATTTGTGATTGTTAAATCCTGTCCTTTGAGTACTAGTATAGTGTTGATACATTGCTGTTATATGTAGAGATAAACTGCAGAAAGTGTTTATTTCTCTACATTACTGACCATTGCTAAGAACTGTAATGATGCTGTTGTTTTGTTTGCAGAAAAATCTAGTGTATTTAACAGCCTCCCTTATTTTCTTTCCCATAAAGCCTTGGCAATGCTCTGACAAATCCAATTATTGTATATTTTGGAAGTACTTACATTGAGATTACCTCTAATGCCTCTGCATGATACCAAACTCCCTCTGCCATCGATTCTTGTCACAATTACAAAACTAATCAGAAGAAATGCCTTCTTCACCTGCACATCCTAATCCTACATTAAGCTTTTTATTTTTATAGCAAGTCACCCTCGTAGCCGTCACCCTCCCATTCCATGCATCTGTGTTGCTGTCTGGCAAAGCTTCCCCTCCGAGTCTATAGTTATTATCAAGAGTATTTCTTATTCAATTTGCCCATTAAACGGTACAGCATTATTTCATGTATTCCTGTGTGATCTGACACCTTTTTAAAAAGGAACATAGAAGCAAAGCAGGATCTGATATTCCAAAACTTTCATTAGGTACGCCATTTCATCATACTGCCTTTAAATAATTTCTCAGTCATTCATAAGGAGCTATCAATATCACACTGTAATATAAATTTTCTTCTACTGCATGTGATTCCTGCAGATATAACAGTGTTGTAATTAGAAATAAAGTTTTGATGTGCAGACATGGCAGCTAGTATACTCCCAAGTTTTAAAATGAAGCTTGCAAAGCATACTAGTATTACCATATAAATGTAATATAATAATATCACTGTTATGATAGGAAACGGCATTTAATATGAATGGAATAGCATTGTGATTAAACTTTAGATGGAAATATTATACAATCGTTTAGATGCATTGTCAGAGTACCTGATTCACAGGTTTCTTACAGCTTCTTTTATGGAATGTTGCAGTGTCATATACTCTACATTGTACATTCTGATGGTGAGTCTACTAGCATAATGTCTGTAGAGTTTATCTCAGCATTCAGATGTACACCTGTAATTCTTTCTATATGAACTCAGCCAAAAGGACCTTCTTCTAACTAATGCTGTATAGAAATAAGTTGCATGTACAATAATATATATTAGCCCTGCAGCCCTTTGAAATCTGACCTAAGCAATGCATAGCAAAAAAGAATAACACGTTGTATGAATTTTAACTCCGGTACCTTGTTCTAGTCGATAGAAAACTTTGTCCATTCCCAGGAGTATGTGTTATGTACACAAATCTTCAAGTTTTATTTCTGCCAAATCATTTTGAACACAGCGCAGAAAGGGCAGCCCAAAGCCCGACATTTTGGCCATCGTGTTCGGAAAGCAATAAAATGGAAGTAACTTTTCGGTCAGCTTGTATTTGGTGAGTGTTAGATGTCATGAGCTGCTGCTGCATGTTCTGAAAGGCAGAGTCTGATTTCCATTCTATCTCAGCAGCCCTTCGCTTCAATGTATTCCACAGCTGAGAAGCAGTCGTGCAGCTTGTCTGAAATCCTCTTCAGAAGGACATTGAAATTCACAGGCAGTACAGACTTCGCAGGGTATTCCCACACCATACACAGCCATGCGTTTAGAAAACGTACCTCTCCCACTTTATTGATTACTGTCAGCAATCAGCTTTTTTTTCCATTCCAATTAGCACTCTTATGCCAGCCAGACTTCACGTTGATCCCTATTTGTGTCCTTCAGACATGACCACATGTCATATAATTGAAAAACATATAAGACATTTCACTTTCTTTTGACTGCCTGACCCTCTATGAAATTAGATTGAGAGAACCTAAGGATTGACTGGGCCTATAAACGAATGCCACTCACAGTCCTGCAGCCCCCGTCAGCACCATTGAATGGCTAGACACACTTAGATTCCAATTACTTAGTGGATATAACATGTATGCAGGGGTGGATCAGTGCAGAGTGAAAGACGGCTCCTGGGCCTAACACCCCCCAGAGAAGACAAATCATGCTGACTTGTGTACTGTTTGATAATGCTGTACTCTTTGATTGATGCATATGTAAACTTGCAAACTAATCAGTGACTGACCAGGTAATCATCCAACTAGTGATGTCTCATAATCTGATTTGTTTTAGGTAATCTATATTGATTATCTGCCTCTATGCAACTAAAGACAGTATGAAGGGGGAAGGTTTCCTTTTTTTTTTAACCGAAGATGTTTTTTGCACACTGATAAATTATTATTATTATTATTATACAGTATTTATAAAGCGCCAACAGTTCGCTCAGCGCTGTACATTACAATGGGAGACAGAACATGCGATAGTACAATATCAATACAATGCGATACACGAGGGGTTGTTAAATGTGTAAGCGGAAGTGTTTTATTTTTTGTTTAATATTTGTTTTATAACTTTTGGATTCACCTGTTAGTTAGTGCATCATTCACATGGATGTTCAGAGCTATACACCCCTAGATCAACATATAGGTAAGGCCAAGTGTTTGTGAATAGCTGCAGACAGGAAGGTTGTACAAATCAATGACAGGCTGACACTGCACATGGTTGTTCACATGCAATCACACAAGGAGAGATTACATGCGGTCAGGGACAAATGTCTGTCCCTAACTGCATGTCATTTCTCCTTGTCCTTGATGCGATAAGCTGCGGAGCCTGTAAGCCTGTCATTGATTCTTACAGGCTGAGCAGCCGCCGCTGATCGCAAACACCTGGCTGTCTCCCAGGCTGTTTGGCTTTGGACAGCCATGTGAATGAGACCTAATACTCATGCTTTACATATACAAAAATACCAAATATACAGATTTACATTTTCTTTAATGTTGTTTTCAACTTACATCTTCTTCCAGCTAAATAGCAGAACATATGCCGTAGAAGTGCAAGCTGGGATTCTAATCAAAGCCCTTTTAAAGAGTACTCAGGGCGGCTCCTACAAGCACAGCAACATACCTGTACATCACGGCCTGTTTCCGGGTTTCGGGCGCACCCATGCCCCCCGCTCGCCTACTCCCTTTTAATTTGACAGAGTGGGAGTATGTCAGCGGAACCCAGCCAATGATTCATGACTGGGACCTGCTGATTGGCTGTGTTGACAAACAACATGTGGCTCTATGCAGAGGGAATGATCACTTTGTTTCTTTTCTCTGTAAAGCAGGGAAAAGGAACAAATTGATCTGTTGTAAAAAGCAGCATATATTACACACATTACACATTAGTCATACAATTAACCACTTGATTTTCCCTAGATGTTAACCCCTTTCCAGCCAGTGTTATTAGTACAGTGACAGTGTATATTATTAGCACTGATCACTGTATTAGTGTCACTGGTGATGTCAACGGCAGTTAGTTCCCACAAAGTGTCAGTCAGTGTCAGAAGGCCTCCCATACAATCACAGTCCCACTATAAGTCGCTGATCGCCACCATTACTAGTATAAAATAAATATTCCAGTGTACATACCATTGTTTGTAGATTCTAGAACCTTTGCACAAACCAATTAACAAAAAAACACCTACTGGGATTTTTATTTTTACAAAAGACATGCAGCAAAATACATTTTGGCCTAAATTTATGAAGAAATTAGATTTTTAAAATTTTTTAATTGAATGTGTTGTATAGCAGAAAGTAAAAAAAAATATTTTTTTTTCGTTTATATAATAAAAATGAAAAACCCAGTGCTGATCACACCAATAGAAAGTTTTATTTGTATGAAAAAAAATTATATACATTTTATATGGGCACACTGTTGCACGACTGCGCAATTGCCAGATAAAGTAGCGCAGTGCCGAATAGCAACAAATGGCCAGGTCATTATATACATTTTATATGGGCACACTGTTGCATGACTGCGCAATTGCTAGTTAAAGTAGCGCAGTGCCGAATAGCAAAAAAATGGCCAGGTCAAATCTTCTGGAGCTTAAGTGGTTAATAGGAAACTTTGAGGTTAATAGGAAACTTTGAGTTTTATTTTAGTTTGAGTTCTTTAACTATTTATTAGCATTTTTTTCTTTAGTACATGCATGCCATCTTTTTTCTCAAATAAACATTTAATACATGAAAAAGTATTCCCTGAGCACTGTTTTTTTTTCTTTTTCTTTTTTTTTGTAGTGGCAGCACTGCTGGCACTGTTTGCAGTTCCCTTTCAAACAGCTCTGATGACTCAATGAGGTTCGTAAACAACCAAACTCTTTTAGGCTGTAAAATGTAAAAAGCAGTCAAGAGCTCTTCACCTCTAAAATGCACAATTTTTATCCCTGACCATAACAACTAATGAAACCATGTGCAAAGTCACTATACATTTGGGGATATCTACTAAAACTGGAGCACTCAAAATCTGGTGCAGCTGTGTATGGTAGCCAATCAGCTTCTAACTTCAGCTTGTTCAATTAAGCTTTCACAATAAACCCTGGAATCTGATTGATTTCTATGCAGAGCTGTACCAGGTTGTGCATTGCTATGGTTTTAGTAAATAACCCTCATTATCTTTAACTGCTTCCCGACTGCCCTACAGCAGAAATACTGCTACAGGGCAGCACGGGTGCGCAAAATCACATATATATACATGATTTTGCATCTCAGGGTAGGGGGCGCACGTGAACTACGCACGCCCTACTCACGCTGCCATTCGCGGCCCTGGTTGGCAATCACCGGGTTCCAGATGGTTCTCCTCCCTTTCAGTTCGGGCACACTGCTTTGGATGGCTATGCATAGCACAGCCATCCAAAGCAGTGTGACTACAGTGAAGCACACTGACACCGCCCCCTAATAAAACACTCCCAGCACACAGTTAACCCTTTGATCGCCGTTCATGTTAACCCCTTCCTGCCCAGTGCCATTAGTACTGATCACTGCATTGGTGTCACTGGGGATGTTAGTGACACCAAGTCAGTTCCCCCCAGTGTCAGAATGTCCGGCGCAGTCCCACTATAAGTCGCTAGTAAAAAATAAAAAAATTAAAACAAATCCCAGTATATATACCGCCATTTGTAAATGCTATAACTTTCACACAAACCAATTAATTTACACCTATTGGGATTTTTTTTTTTAGCAAACACATGTAGCAGAATACATTTTGGCATAAATTTATGATGAAATTTCATACTGGACATGTTTAATAACAAAAAGTAAAAAAATATTGTTTTTTTTCTCAAAATTGTCGGTCTTTTTTTATATCACAAAAAAATAAAAACCGCACAGGCGATAAAATACCACCGAAAGAAAGCTCAATTTGTGGGAAAAAAAGGATGTAAATTTCATTTGGGTGCAGTTGACTGCGCAATTGTCAGTTAAAGTAACGCAGCACCGTAACGCAAAAAAAATGGCCTGGTCAGAAAAAGGGGGTAAATCCTCAGAAGAGCAAGTGGTTAAAGTTTGCATGTATTTCTTTATTTGGTTATGTAGGTATTTTGTCTATACAATTACTTTTGCATACAAGGTTTGCAATTCTTTCCAGAGCTACAATTGTATAGGCACTGATTTGGTATATTTATGGTTTGCCATCCTGCAGTTAACCAAAGATTTCAAACACATATTTATAAAGCAAAGCAATATGTGGTAAAATGATGGATTGGTGTACTCCACAGTAGTCAACAGCCAAATTTACTACCACTCTGAACGTGTAGGCCCTTCTTTTGGGTTTCCTGCTCTTTGAGATGAGTTACACCGGTAAGATGCTGACACAATGGCAGGAATCGGCATAGCGGGGACCTTCAAGTGTCACTGCCCTTCTAGCTGTGAGTCACTACTATAAAAAAAAGCAAGTTTCAGAACTGACAGATTTATCATACATTTACGTGGAAAAAATACTCTACTCTGAAAAAAATTGTGAAACCATATGCATGTATAACAGTTAGTCCAAAAGAACTACGATCAGAATGGATTTTAAAATGTTCCATTCTTTTTGGGCTATATACCTGCTCTGGGCCTGAATTAGCCCACAGATATGTTGTAGGAAATAAAATGACTTTTTAGGAACAATAGGCAATAGAGTGTTAGGTCAACATAATCAAATGATAAAAGATAGCTTTCACTAGATTACTTAGCTGACTAATAGCTGGAATCTGCACTCTGATGTGTTATATGTATTGGCACCGCTCAGAAGCTGGGTAATCAATAAAGAGTCACCTCACCAGCATGTATAGGGGAATGGTGTCTGCATCAAAGTCCAGAACTTGCAATTAGGAAGGGAAGAAAGGACACCGCTCTGACCGCTAAAACTTTTTGCCCTATTATTTA